TGGGCATGCGCAATGTCCACCCAAAGACCGGGGGCCACAACACCCACAAACTGGCACCCATAAATGCCCCCATGCAACATCCACAAAAAAGCCCCAATACCCACAAAGAGGCCCCCAACACCCACAAAGATGTGTATAAGAGACAGAATTAAGGCAGTGCGTGATCTGCGTGCCGGACACCAGCTTCTGTAAGTTCAAGTTACAAGACAGTCGATAACTCCAATAAATCATTAATAATTATCATTTGAATACATTTTTCTAATATATAAATACTTTAACTTTTAAACCAGAAAAGTTTATTTGGATGTTTGCAAACATTTGCAAGACATCCTATATATTGGGTCTGTCTCTTATACACATCTAGATGTGTATAAGAGACAGTTTTACAGCCGTTCATTTTCAATAAAGGGAAGTTCAGCTTTGAAAAGTGATCAATTTTCCTAGATAGGACCAAAGCTTTTGTGAGATTGANCCCTGATGCCCAATGGTCAGCCCTGATGCCCGCTGGTCAGCCCTGATGCCCAATGGTCAGCCCTGATGCCCAATGGTCAGCCCTGATGCCCAATGGTCAGCCCTGATGCCCGCTGGTCAGCCCTGATGCCCAATGGTCAGCCCTGATGCCCAATGGTCAGCCCTGATGCCCAATGGTCAGCCCTGATGCCCGCTGGTCAGCCCTGATGCCCAATGGTCAGCCCTGATGCCCAATGGTCAGCCCTGATGCCCAATGGTCAGCCCTGATGCCCGCTGGTCAGCCCTGATGCCCAATGGTCAGCCCTGATGCCCAATGGTCAGCCCTGATGCCCAATGGTCAGCCCTGATGCCCGCTGGTCAGCCCTGATGCCCAATGGTCAGCCCTGATGCCCAATGGTCAGCCCTGATGCCCAATGGTCAGCCCTGATGCCCGCTGGTCAGCCCTGATGCCCAATGGTCAGCCCTGATGCCCAATGGTCAGCCCTGATGCCCGCTGGTCAGCCCTGATGCCCAATGGTCAGCCCTGATGCCCAATGGTCAGCCCTGATGCCCGCTGGTCAGCCCTGATGCCCAATGGTCAGCCCTGATGCCCAATGGTCAGCCCTGATACCCAATGGTCAGCCCTGATGCAAAATGGTCAGCCCTGATGCCCAATGGTCAGCCCTGATGCAAAATGGTCAGCCCTGCTGCCCAATGGTCAGCCCTGATGCCCGCTGGTCAGCCCTGATGCCCAATGTCAGCCCTGATGCCCCAATGGTCAGCCTCGATGCCCCAATGGTCAGTCCTGATACCCGCTGGTCAGCCCTGATGCCCAATGTCAAGCTCTGATGCCCAATGGTCAGCCTCGATGCCCGCTGGTCAGTGCAAATCAGTGTCCGACGACCGCCCGTTACTGATTATTGCCTCGGGACTTGCATACCACCCAGTACGCGCATACATGGGATTTTGTACTCCGTAAAATGAATAAGTCATATTGTCTGAATAATGGCAAACTTTCTCACCCATATTGCGAGCAGAAAGCGGGCGTAGTACTGATGTAGCCATTGCGGGATAAGAGTCCGGATGGCTCACAAAAATTAGAAAAGTGCATCGCTATTTTGACCAAGCCTCCAATGTGGACCAAATCAGCTTTAACCCCCTACTGCCTGACTGCGACATGAGTAACCGGAGCAATATTATCACAAACCTACTTCCCAAAAAGGAAACGTTCCTGTGAGCGTAAAATGACTTGCACTGATGGTTTCCGCCACGTACGACAACTTTAAAATGCTCTTTGTTGCGTACAAACGTCCTCAGGTTGCTACACACAATAGTTTACAGATTATTTAAGTTGAAAGTTATGTTCCCGAAGAGTGACATACGGCGGTAGAGGGCTAACACGTGCATTGAACGTTTAATATACGTCACGCACGCCTCAAGCACGAAAGGTACACGTATGTAACATGATCGTATGATGGATGCGCGTCATGTAGCGGTTATAGCCGTATGAAGGACGTGGTCTGTACGGCCGGCCGTACGGTATACGTACGAGACCGTATGATGGAAGTTTTACACATAAGCGTTAAAGACGTACTCCATAAGAACGTAAGATGACCGTATTTCATGAGGCCGTATATTGTGGACGCGCATGATACGGCCGCATGGAGGAAGCGTTACATGTAGACAAGACGATACCTATTGTACAACAAAGGCATATCAAAAGCAGCGCGCATCTTGCTCTGCCCCCATTTATTTCATCCCCAAATTAAGCAAGGAAACGCTTTAGTAATACAACTAAATACAGGGCAAGGCCCCATGTAAATGTTAATTAATGATCGATTAGTAGTACAGAGGCTCTAGGGTGAGGATAACAGTCCTGAAACAAGGTTATATGGTTAGTATAAAGTCGTTGCGCGGCTCCAGCGTAGAGGTACAAGAATTCTGAATCAAGGTTAAATGTTTAGTAACGTGGCTAGATGCAAGGTTTCAAGATAAACACCAAACGTTATTTTTATATGGTGTTTTTGTTCCCGTAGTCAGTACAAATGAAGTTAGTCACGCTTACATTACAAACTTATTTCGCTTACAACTTTGAACTGTAGTACACAAAATGGTCCAGTGAACGAAGATAGTCGTAATGATTTAACACGGATCATTTAAATAAATCATTCAGACAAATGATTTTCAAGAAAAGATCATTTAAATAAACCACTCACCCAAACGGTTTCCAAGACATACAAGACAGAAAAGAGCGAGTTAGTTTAATTTGATGTCGAGACAGTTCATCAACAGTTATGTGTTCTGCATCAACTCGTAGAAATCGTATCAATAATACACTTCAGCGATTTCTATGTCTATTATCTTTACACACGTTTCATTTCGCAAAATAAAAATTCACACTTCATTAATTTATCAAAGTTTCCAACATCATTTTCACAAGCAAGCTCCAAATTTTTGTATTGGAATAATGAACATCGAACTCGGTAACCGGAAAAATTGATCAATACGCGAATTCTAATGATAACATGCACGTCTAGGTCAAGTTCACTAATCTTACATGTATGCATATACTCTGTTATAAAAAATAAATAATGTCCAGAGTTCTAGCTCACTTGAATATCAATTCAGTGTACCATCGACACAACAACAACATCAAGTGCATAACAAACCTCTAGTTCACCGACACTATACAACGAAACATTTGGCTAAATTTTCTTACAGTATTACACCAAAATTTTATAGATCTCTCTAATCAAGAAATGCATGAGCGGGAATATCCAGCACGCCACTCCTTGCAATAAAAGCTCACCGAAATTCGACAAAATTCACTAATGGCGGACATTGAATTTCGTTATGGCGACCAATTAAGAGCTGGACTCCAGACGGCAATTCATACAACATGGCGATAAGACATTACCAAATAAGGTAATCTGCAATAATATACAATGCGATGGCAAAAAACACTACAATATTTCATTTCAATTTAAATATTTGAAAAATTAGAGAGAATAAGCTTGCCTTTTTCGTGTTCTTCTTCCCTACTAAGAAGATGGGGTGGATGATGGATAGGATGAGGTCTGGATTACTATAGGACTAGGAATCATAATAAATTCATGGTGTTCGCATAACATATTCCCTGACCTAATAACTATACGAAATCTTTTAGTTTTGATTTCACGCAGAGTCAACCTGAACAATGCGACGGCACGATATCCGATCACACACAATTTAGTAACACAGAAAAATTGAGCCCAAGAGAAGGGAGTTAAGTTAACTTCAAATCGCAAGCAACGGGTTAGTGACGGTCATCTACTGAAGCCATACATTGAATTTGTAATCACGGTTTCAAAATTGAAATTTTCCGTGCTTTAACCGTGGGCAGCGGTTGACTGATTTACCTAATGCCAGTCTTAGAGCAAATTATACCGTGTACTTCAATGTATTCAACAACCAATATCCTCGGTTTCACACAGATTTGAACGCCGTCGAGGTTCATCTATTGTCATACTGGACTCTCGAAAAAATTCATGTGGATTCTTGAGTTCACCATCGCTGGAATCATAATTGCTACGAAGCTGAACTATAGCTGGGTCATAACTGCTCCGAAGCGAGACTAACTGGGGTCATAAATGCTCTAAAGCGGGACTAATCGGAATCAAAACTGCTACGAAGCGGGGCGAACCGCGGGTCAAATCTGCTTCGAAGCCAGACTCAGCGGGGTTAAAACTGCTCCGTAGCGGAAATATATGGAGAAATAACTGCTCCGAAGCGGGATAATAACGGGTCATAACTCTGGACGAACCGGGGTCAAAACTGCTCTGAAACGGGATGAAGTTGTGTCTAAACTGCTCTGAAGCGGGACTTTGGAGACACAACTGCTCCGAAACGGGACTACGAGGGGTCAAAACTGCTCCGGAGTGGGACTTAGGAGACATAACTGCTCCGAAACGGGGCTGATTCGCTGGAGTGAAGCAACATGCGGCTCTAGCAACCGCCTAGTAGAGCACGAAAAGTGCGACTATGAGCAATGAGCACGAGCAGATTTCCTCTAAGTACTAGACATGGTGGGATTACGATAATATGTACACATTGAGGAAACAATAACACGACATTAGAGGAGCACAGCAGTAAGCCTGGGCTACACATACAACACAACAGACACGGAATATGAGCACGCATGGATAACTTAAACGTACAACTACGAGACAGGACACGAGAACTAGAGAGCAATAGAAATGTAAAATAAATAGGACAATACAGGCCCGACCTATGAGCAGGAGGAATACGTATTTTGGTAGGAGGAGGTATCCTGGCGGTAGGAGAGGTAAAGTACCCTGGGATTAATGTGGTAATTTTCTGAAGGTTGGAGGGATAAGAATCCAATGAGTAGGCGAGGCAGGTATCCTGGGAGAATGAGGGGTAAGTGAGCTAGGAGAAGGAGAGCCAAGTGTCCTGGGAGTAGGAAAGCCAAGTATCCTGGATAAGAAGGAAGGGTAAGTATCCTGGGAGTAGGAGGGGTATATAAGTAGGGGCTAAAGTATGACTCGCACCTTGATTCAGGAGTAGAGGAAGGTGGATTGCTGGCACCAGCGCTCTGAACGCTGCCATCACCGCTGCAACTGCAACGAAAACACTTGGGCTCGTCACTGCTCGTAAATACCCCAGCAATAGCACGTAACAGCCTGACACCAACAAGTAATTGCTCGTAAACACCCCAACTCTATAACGAAACAGCCCGACATCAACAAGTAACTGCTCCTAAACAGCCCGGAACTAACCGGTAACAGCATATAAACAGTCGTATAATACCGCAAATCGTTGACGCAACAGAATTAGGAGCTAAATACACTCAACATAGTATTCAAAGTAATACCTGAACATCAGCGACGCTTAGGTGGAATTTTAGAATGTCAGCCTCAGAAACGCTGAAGTTGGGAAATCATTACGCGGTTACGGCGATAAATCAAATTAAAATGCGGCTAAATTGGAATTTATATAAACACGTCTTCCATTTTTGTTGCAAATTACGGCGAAATTAGCAGAACGCTGGCGCTGATAATTGTATCGTTTGATGAACAAGAAATAACATAGGAAAATTTATCCGAGACAGGGGCTATATAATGCGAATTAAATATGCCGATGCAACAGCATATTGGAGATTCATAAAATAACCGCTCGAGAAAATGGCAGATTTTCGGAGTTACACTTATTTTGCATTGAGGCAAAAGCAAGTATAAAACCCTGTGCTCATGAGAGTGCAGCTTTTTACACACATACAAAATTATAACATTTATTATTTACTAACAGCACGGAGTAACCAGCGTTGAAACAGCATCAACCACAGCACGCTTCCAACAAACTGTTATAGACAGAAAACCCACTATATACCGTCAAGAGCCAGTATAGACAGTAAACACCCTGCACACGGAGAGTCAACACAGTGTACACAAAACACACAGTACACACGATCGCCGGCATATTGTTCACTCATTAGAGTTTGGAAGAGACAAAAAAGCCGCACCCTCCCCTGACACCCCGGACATATTTCCAGCCGCACGCACCCATTGAAGAGGTCACGCTCGGGGCATGACTTCTGGACTCTCGAGTCCCCCATTCATCCAGCTTCCCCAGTTCCATAGGAATAAAATCTCGACTAATTAATAACCAAGTATCATTCCACATCAGGTACATCTGATATTCATAGTAAATATTATACTCAATGGAACATTACACTCAGAGGAGCTACATAGATCGTCGAATACCTGCTGTATAGAGCTACACCTGGCACACAAGAGTCGATGTATGAAGCCACACATAGCACACACACAAGACACAGGCTCCAGCAGCAGAAGCAGCCCGGTTGTACCAATATTTACAGGCGGACAGGGCGGCCGCGTTGCGATCAGCATTTTTACGAGTAGGAGTTTACCCGCGCACCGCTAGCCACACGGCGGCGCTCCTTCGCTCCCGCCCTTTGCCGGGTTGCCTTCTTACAGTGTTCTATCCTAACACGCATCTTACGTTGAAATAACGCTGATTAAACGTTGTTTCAACGTATTCAACTCGTAGTCAGCGTTGTTTCAATGCAATTAACTGGAAAGCGCACTCACGAAATGAGTTCATCAAAAACAGTTTTGACCGTAAAAATGCGCGACGTCTAACACTATCCTAGGACGCTCGGAACACGATTCGAGAAATAATCCCAAATCAAAGAGATGTCCAAGTTACTATAGGCGGCTAAGATCGTGCATCTTTCGGCAGCTTTACGCGAGCGACTGACATTTGAACATCATTTCTATGGCCAATCTGACATTTGAATATCGTCTCTACGGCCAAGCTGACATTAGGTAGCCAAAACAGCAGGTAGCGGCACAAGAAGGACGTATATATATGAAGGCATAATCTTGAGAATAAATCTATGGCATATTACTGAGGAAAACTAAGACAGCATCGAATCTGAACTTCATGACAACCTAATATGTTTAGAATGTCTGATACGTTAAGAATGATATGAGAAGAAATCCTTGATTAAGAAATGTGACTCGATAGGGAAAAAGTGTTTTGTGGCGAGACGACTTGATTGTGACAAGGTGCTTTGATTGTGACAAGGTGTCTTAATTGTGACAAGGTGCCTTGATTGTGACAAGGCACCTCGATTGTGACAAGGTGCTTTGATTGTGACAATGTGTCTTGATTGTGACAAATGCCTTGATAGTGACAAGGCACCTTGATTGTGAGAAGGCGACTTGATTGTGACAAGGTGCCTCGATTGTGATAAGGTGCATTGATTGAGAGCAGGCAGCATGGCAAGAGTGTAGAAAGCATGGCAAAGAAAAGATGTCGGCAAGACTACATGATGGAATAGTAATGGCAAGATAACATCATGACACGGTGACATGATGACGACATGATACCATGATAGGTCTTAGATAACACGATATATATAAAAAGGTATAACAAAGATAACAGATAAGATAAGGATTATATGAAAATTACGCATACAAGATTTAAGTTCATAAAGGTATTCAAGATCATAACCAAGATATATGAATTGAAAATGTATACATAGTTCGATAAACAGCTGTAAGACAGCATCGAATCTGAACTTCATGACAACCTAATATGTTTAGAACGTCTGATACGTTAAGAATATTTGATATGAGAAAAAAAATCTTTGATTAAGAAATATGATTTGATAAGAGGAAAAGTGCCTTGTGACAAGATGACTTGATTGTGACAAGGTGCCTTGATTGTGACAACGAGACTTGATTGTGACAAGGTGCTTAGATTGTGAGGTACCTCGATTGTGACAAGGTGCCTTGAGTGTGAGGTAACTTGATTGTGTCACGGCGCCTTGATTGTGACACCATGATTGTGACAAGGTGCCTTGATTGTGACAAGGTGCCTTGATTGTGACAAGGTGCCTTGATTGTGACAAGGTGACTTGATTGTGACAAGGTGCCTTGATTGTGACAAGGTGACTTGATTAAGAGCAGGTAACATGAAAAGAGTGTAGAAAGCATTGCAAAGACAAGATGTCGGCAATAATACATGCTGGAATAGTAATGGCAAGATAACATCATGAAACGGCTACATGATGATGACATGATACTATGATAGATCTTAGATAACACGATATATATAAAAAGGTATAACAAAGATAACAGATAAGATAAGGATTATATGAAAATTACGCATACAAGATTTAAGTTCATAAAGGTATTCAAGATCATAACCAAGATATATGAATTGAAAATGTATACATAGTTCGATAAACAGCTGGGACTCAGGATTTAATACGCATTAATTCAAGTGGCTTAAATCATCTATTCCATTTGCGATGTGAACGAGAACAATACACATACATATCTGAATAGGTGGTCACTTATTCTACACTACACATAGGCCACACACGTTAAGTAAATGAGCCACACATCAAAATACAGACCACACATGAGTTGACAACACACACAGCAAGTTAACAACACACACAAAGTTAGTGGACTTCTCACACACTATCAGAAGAACGTGAACCACACACATAAAGTACATGGACCGCTCATATGAGTAAGTGAAAGACACACACACAGAATTAAGTGAACCCCGTAAACGTGAAGTAAATGGACCACTAACACGAAAAGTTGACCATGGCCACATGAATAAGCAGACCACACACATTAGTAAAAGGAACCCAAACACATGTGTAACTGGACCCCCAAAAAATACAAAAAGGTGAGTAAGTAGAACATACAATCAGAGAGGGGACTCCACACACACACACATGTGTAACTTGTGTAACTGAACAACACATACAGGAGTAAAAGGACCCTTAACTAATCAGTAAGAAGCCCACAAATATACACAATGATCAGTGAGAGGACCGCACACAAATGAGTACGTGGACCACACACACAGACATGAGTAATTAAAACACATATATACACAAGGATGAGTCAGTGGACCAAACAACCTAAGTAGGAAGACCACACGCACCCGAGTAAGTGGACCACATAAACACACACGAGTGGACCACACAACCACACACGAGTGGACCACACAACCACACACGAGTGGACCACAGACCACACTACTCACCTGGCAAACCTCTCCTTGTCCTGGAGGTTGTCGTCGCCGGACTCAAGACGGCCGTACTTGCTGCCCGCGCTCTCGTCCTCGTCTGACCTGAGGGTGGGTCATGGTAGCCGTTAAACTGGGTCATGGTAGCCGTTAAACTGGGTCATGGTAGGTAACCTATACCATCTTAAATATTATATCAACTCATATGCATGGAATATGTTGTGCAAATGAGATACTATCAACACTGTAGCAATTCATCCATGAAATAAAGGGTCGCAAGTTATATATATTCGAGCAGACACGTTCACATAACCGATACAAAAAGTTCAGTAATGCACATAAACGAATTAGGTACATAAAAAATTGTTCACATTTCCATATGTTCGGACCAGAAAAGCAGCAGCCGGCAATTGCAATGCAAAATACACACATACAACACAAAATATTCACAACACAAGGGGCTATAGGAAGACTGTACAAACACGCAACGTAATTACGTTAATCGAGTGCATAAACTCAGCGACCAGGCACCGTAAGAAGCGATCAAAGCGCGCGCGTATTGACACGGCGCACAGCAGACGCACACGGCGTATCTTCAGCGCAATGGACCAGCGACGTTAACGGGGCATGACTGTCTATAATGTAGGCTTGGTGTGAATTAGGTACATTAATAAAGTCATATTATCTTTATTACTATTATTTTGCATATTTCAAAATAAAATTGTTTGCAGATTGCGAAATAATATCCATATTTTTATATCAATCCTTTCCATTAGATGAGCATGAGTCCACGAGATGAGTTCCATAAGATGAGGCACGAACTTGTCCACGTGAGGCATGAGTTTATAGTACTAATGGAGATATTAGTGCTGGTGCTGGTGGTGATGATGCGTATGAGGTGTAATGGTGAAGAGAGAGGGTGCAGAATGTGGGTGCAGAGTGTGGGTGCAAAGGGAGAGTGCAGATGGAGGGTGTAGAGGGAGGATAGCTGGGGTGGGCGGGTAGCAGCAGTCAATTAAACCCAGGACTATCAACCTCAAGTCGTGACCGAGGCTAAAAAATCACCGACGTCCAGTTCAGCTCGCGGCCCCACCACCACCACCCACCCACCTCCTCAACCACACCCACTATCACCCACCACCACTGCAACCTTCTCAACCACACTCACCTCTCAACGTTATATTAAAAACCTTAAATAATAAGTGCCAACGGTAAAAATATATCAAACAACCTACTAAATTCCAAACTGGGTTATGATAGACGACCTGAAGCGACACTACGAAGTGGCGTCGTGAGGCAAACTGCAACTAAAAGGCACAGCTGTTAACATTGAGGCGCCAACTAGTACCTACAGAGAGCTAGTTCCTGCAGCTAGCAGGGAGCTACTACTCGCTAGTACTAGAAGTTCACTAGTGAAGCTCGTATCCTCTAGTGTCGGGGCAGCGTTCGCCGCCGCGGCAGTTGAGCAGTAAATGACAGGGGCAGTAGTGACAGCATTGCAGTAAATGACAGCATAAAGCAGTGCTCTACACAGCATAAAGCAGTGCTCTACACAGCATAAAGCACTGCTCTACACAGCATAAAGCATGGCAGAGGTTCCCACGCCCGAGCGCCGTATTTAGCGTTCATGCCGGCCGCTTGTTAGCGCACAACCGCTTATTAGCGCGCACCAGCCTGCTACACAGGCTCTACACTAACTCGTGTCACCAACACAATATACACAAATAACCATTAGCACACAACTCAAACAAACAACCATCAACACAACACTTACACAAACAACCATCAACACAACACTTACACAAACAACCATCAACACAACACTTACACAAACAACCATCAACACAACACTCAAACAAACAACCATCAACACAACACTTACACAAACAACCATCAACACAACACTTACACAAACAACCATCAACACAACTCACACAAACAACCGTCAACACACAACTAAAACAAACAACCATCAACACAAACTCATACAAATATACTATGTACATTGTGCTAAGTACCCAAGAAAAAACTATCTAATTCTAATGACCGGCCGCCACCGTGAAAAAAAAAAACGTTTCGCATTTTTTTCATATGTTACACGGGTTTCTTCTGTTGAATTTTCATTTGTTATACGGGCGTCTAGTGTTGAATTTTCATATGTCATACGGGCTTCTAGTGTTGAATTTCCATATGTTATACGGGCTCATTGCGTTGAATTCCCATAATGTTATACGGCTTTATTGTATTGAAGTAGAAAAAGTCGATCCGGTGTTTTTCCACGCGGCAGCCAGACACTGAAATGCCGTTAAGACCGTTTACGATGATTTTTCGAGTGTACTAAATACGTACTTTTATGCAAATTTGATTGAAGACTGGAGCATGCTTTTCATCAACAATTTTCTTATTCAATTTTTTAATGAAATGAACAAAATTTCTTGCTGGCGCCGAGAGATGTTGTTCATAAGTTTCATGTAATATAGAAAGTTGTAAACTTCTTCAAATTATTAACTACATTGGTCTACATGCCACCTACAATCTGGAGGACCCAAGAACCACATGCGGGAGGCCCACAATGTGGCCATCACCAGAGCGACATTGGAGGCCTGCACCAGCATAGTTATGCGGTGCCCCGACCCATCGAGACTGGCGATAGCTGAGGCCCTCATTATCAAGAGNTTAACATCACTGGGTCAGGCTAACAAAAGGAAAACCCATGCAGGTCGACGCGTTAACAATAAAATTCGTATATAAAGTAAATCATTTTAAAGAACATCGATTACGAATTGATTTCGTTACAACGATGTTGTTTAATCAACGTTATTTCAACGTAAGATGTCGGGTACAAGACCTCGATCCACATGATGTTAAAAAACATCCATTACGAGTTTATTTCGTTGAAACGTTTAGTCAACGTCATTTGAACGTCAGATGCCCGGTAAAGTTCAGTAAGTAGCATCAGACAGGAGAGGCTCACACGCGAGCAGCAATTGAGCCTACGCCTCTGTAGGCCTAAGGGAATGTGGTGCGCAGCTATGGGGATGAAGAGTGTGTACTTATACTTATTGCTGGTCTTCTTCAGGAACAAAGTATACATGAACACACAAGTATACACGAACACACCAGAAGTATACAGAAACACCATAAGTATAAAGAAACACAATAGGTATTCAGAAACACACCAAAAGTATACAGCAACACATCAAAAGTATACAGCAACACATCAAAAGTATACAGCAACACATCAAAAGTATACAGCAACACATCAAAAAGTATATAGCATCACATCAAAAGCATAGAGCAAAACACATAAGTATACAGCAAGACAACAGAAGTATGCAGCAACACACCAAAGATATACATTTTATACACTACAAAAGTATACATTTACACGAACATCCACATGCCAAAAACAGACGGCGATACTAAAAAAAACGTGCATGAATGAAGCGTGGTAAATCAAGGCCGCAGCCGCACTATGCCAAATAGCACACCATTTACCGTCTTAAGCGAGTTCGGTGTGACATCAATTAACATACCGGGGCAGGCGAAAGCCTATTGCCCTAAGGTTGAAGCCTATTACCCTAAGGTTGAAGCCTATTACCCTAAGGTTGAAGCCTATTACCCTAAGGTTAAAGCCTATATTACCCTAAGGTTAAAGCCTATATTACCCTAAGGTTAAAGCCTATATTACACTAAGGTTGAAGCCTATTACCCTAAGGTTAGAGTTTATTATCCTAATGTTCGAGTCTATTACCCTAAGGTTGAAGCCTATTACCCTAAGGTTGAAGCCTATTACCCTAAGGTTGAAGCCTATTACCTAAGGTTGAAGCCTATTACCCTAAGGTTGAAGCCTATTACCCTAAGGTTGAAGCCTATTACCCTAAGCCTCGTACACCCACGCAACCATCCAGAACAGAGGCGCTATGGGAATCATGCCCAAATGCACAGTCCCGGTATTAGCGTCACCAGCTCACCACGAATAACTCGACCATCACAACTGACCACAACTAACTCAGATACCATAACTGACCACCAATACTGCCACAGAAGACCGCAGCAAAATGCGTCACGACTGTAAACAAAGAATTTCAGTCGAACTACCTGAATTTTCTCTAAGCATGGGGCGGTGTTGCAGCAAGTGGCAATCACTCCTCTTACTTAATAAATAACATATTGTCTTTAAAACTTCCACGTTCTTGAGATACGGCTTCTATATATATAGTATCTCATGAGATATAAGCTAATACAATATTATTAATGTTTAATAATGGAATTAATACAGAGGTGTTGTGTACAACACACAGAAAAATATGTGTGTTTTATTAGGTGCCGTAGAGCCCTGGCACGAGTGCCGCTGGACGGACGTCGCGTGAGGGCAATCAGGCCGAGTGATGGAGTGGGGAGAGTGGGCGAGGGGAAGAGGGAGAGTGGGGAGGGAGGAGTGGGCGGAAGGGGAGTCGAACAGAGGGAAGAGTGGAGGAGGGGAAGAGGGGGGAGTGAGGGAGTGGGGAGTGGGCGAGGGGAAGAGGGAGGAGTAAGAGGAAGGGGAGGGAGGAGGGAGTGGAGGAGTGAATGAGAGGAGGGGGACGTGGAGAGACGTCTGAGGTAATAAAAGGGAAGTGGAGAAACTAGTGAGGGGAGTGAAGAGTGAGAGAAAATAGTGAGAGGCGTGGAGGAAAGCAGAATGAGGATAAAAATGAAGGAGTGATGACGTGTGGAAAAGTGAGAGAGGATGCGAGATATGCAAAAGGAGGGGAAACAGGTCAAGCGAGAGGGGAATGACATGAGCACAGTGAGCGAGGGTGAAAAAGTGAAAGTACAGAGAGAAGAAGGAGGTAACAACGAGAAAGAGATCACAGGAGAAGAAATTCCTGACATTAAACATGAAAACTTTTACAGGTGAAACTTGTAAAACATCCCAACATGAAAATTAATAACGTTTCGACATGAAAAATGGAAACATTCCTACAGGAAACAGAACCTTTACCACATGAAACATGGAAACATTCTCACATGAAACATGGAAACATTCCAACATGAAACAGCAACTTTTTCACGTGAAACATAGCAACTTTTCCCCATGAAATATGGAAAAATTCCTACAG